CTAGTGGCTCTGATAAGTTACCTATTAATCAGGATAGAGTGTGTGTGTGTGTGTGTGCGCATCTGTGTGTGTGTGTATGTAGACCACGGAGGAGAGCATTCAGTGGACGTTTTAAACATATATTCATTTTATATAAGTAATAGTTACAGTCACATCAACGTTTCGTTCCTTGTGTGGACTTTCATCAGGAAAGATAGATAGATATATAGATGATAGATAGATTTTTCTATTTGTATATATGTATTTTTTTATGTATGCACATTGTTTCTGATGGATTAATTTGAATATAAATTGTATTATTTTAAATATATTTGCTTATACATCAGTTAAATTGTTATAAACATTAGTCAACAATATGATTATAAAAATGATTCATGGGATTATTTTCAATAAAGTTTTAGCTATTAATACAAATGGGTTTTTTTCCATTAAGAATACATTCAATTTTTCATTTTTTTTTGTTTTTCTGGAGAACTTTTACTATACAAATAATGTGATTTGTTGGTTGAGATTATATTACTGCTTGAGTCACAAAGAGAAGAGAGGTAATCAGGTACATATAAAGTGGCTCTGAAGCCCCTTCCTGGAAGTAAATATAGTAGTTTACTATTAGTCTGTACACAGATATAGAACAAAAAGTAGGGTAGGTATCTAGAGATATTAGTGCAATCATACCCTTCTAATGGTCTAGTGAAGAGACTCTGAGTATGGTCTCAATCACCTTTCTGGCATAAATAAATAAAACAAGCTTTATTGTAGTGGTTCTAATAGGACATAAGAACTAGAAGTGGTACAGGTGATGTATACATACAGACGGTTAGATAAGTACTAATGCCTCAATTGTACATCTGCCAGTACGCTACCGAGGAAACAAAAGTCACTTGTGGAGTGGAAAAGTAATTTTCTTAAGTGCAGTGACTTATTCTCTGCAGTATGTTAACATATTTGAATGCAAAACTCTGTCCCATCCATGTGGATTCGTATGCATTTAATGGGTGGCAATCTAGTGTACTGACGTAGCGTGCCGCCAAATGACTTTCAAATAACCACAGATAGTAAGTAGTAAGAGGGAAAAGAGAAAATGTAGGAACTAATGTCAGTAAAATACTGGTATAAAATGAAACTATTCAAAGCCTCTCTCCCTGTTAAGCTTACTAGATAGACATAGGAGAAAAGGTTAAAAGTGAAAGTAAATAAATAATTAGAGCAACATGCTAAACCATTAGTGCAAGGGGTTCCCAATTATTTTTCCTGTGAAACCCTTTGACATAGTGTATAAACATCGTGGAACCTCTCACCCCAGAAAAAAAAATTGCACCCTTTTTTTATGTGCCGGTGTTTGTCTGTGTGTCAAGGTGTGTGTATCTGTGTTTGTAAGTGTCAGTGTGTGTATTTGTGTGTCAATCTGTATCTGTGTGTGTGTGTGTGTATGTATCTGGCACACAGATACATACACACACTGGCACATAGTGGCACACAGATACACACACCTTGACACACAGTGTGTATCTGTATGCGCTTCAGTGCAATGCTACATTCACCTGACGAAGGATGGATGTGAGTGCCAGTGCATGTAAGCTTCTACTTCAATAATTACACACATGGCAATCTAAAATGCAAGAATCAAATCTTCAACATCCACATCAAAAATCCTAGAACCACAAAAGTGCCACCCTTGTATTTGAAGTGTCAAAGAACAAACTGAGTTTAAATCAATACATTTGTCAGCCACTGACCCACTGTTTTATCAGTATAGTGGAACTACAAAAGTTGATTTAAAAAAAAAAATCCTTTCAATAAGAATGTGTTATTCTAAACGTTAAAAAAATAATAATAAAAAAAAATATATATATATATATATATAATGTACCGACATTGTCAGTAGATTTTGATGCGATTCACACAAACAATGAAATGAGAAAGATCCATGATTTAAGCAACGTTAACCATAGCTTGGTTGTTAGAGTATATCAAAGGCACCAGGTTCTCTTATATTTTCACACACTACAAGCTCTTGAAATAAAAGTGGAAGGTACAATAAAAAAAAAAAAATCTACTATACTGCTATTTGATAATGCCTTGTGAATGAACAATGGAGAATAAACTGTATTTTTCAATCTTTCAGATAAGTACAGAAAGACGAAGATGCAATGGATAGCTGACAACAACTACTGGTATCTCAAAATGCAATGTGACATGCAGATTGTAAGGATAAATGTCCCTTGGTCCCAAACTCGCATTATTTAACTACCACAGCTGCAAAGAATTACATTTTCAAAGCAAAAACTACAACCATGTAGTTACCAAATAATAGCTAAATCCACATAAATAAACTACCTGCTAAATATTTATAGTCAGTTACTTAATTAGCCTCTGAAAATGCCTGAATTCCTCAATTTATAAATTGTACAAGTAACTGGAACCAATTCATATACATAGTTGTCCTTGCCAGATTTAACAGTAGTTTATGATTTATTTATTTTTATTTGATATCACATTGAGACCCTAGAAAAAGTAATCTTAAAGCACAAACATTCCAGTAATCACTATATTACTGCAGATCCAAGAGGTATTCTGTAGCACTCAACACGTGTACACGTTGTTGGTTGACTTGCTAGCGGTTGCATGTCATTTGGCAAGTTAGATGACTAACAACCATTTTTTGGTAATAACAAAAGGGACATGTCACTAACTTTGGCCATGCCTCACCATGCTGCTTTCTAACCCCTCGACATTGGAAGCATGAATTTACTTTAATTTTCTACAATGCTGTTTAAAATAGCATCTGGCATATATTTTTCCCTCAATCAGTGGTCTCACATTAAAAATAAATAAATAAGAATAGAGAGAGAGAGATAAAAAGAGTTAGTATGTATATATATATATATATATATATATATATATATATCAGAGTATTGCAGTGTGTATATATACACATATTATTATATATTCCTGTACCTCTAACTTGTCTTTTTGATTGGCACCTGTATGTATACACCATGCCATGGACATATAACGTTGCATGCGTGCGTGCGTGTGTATGTATGTGTGTATATATATATATATATATATATATATATATAAAACAAGAGGGGGTTGGCTGCACTCACCTTAACATGCATAAATGGGGGTGCTGCTGGGGGCCAAATAATACAATACACAAGATCCAGCGCACTCACCTATCCACTAAACAGCAACTTCAATGTTGAAAGATTTTATTTGTTTTTTTAAAAACACCTAATCTAGGCAAAAATAATGGGGGTTTAGTTACATTATATGATCATACATTGCATAAGCCTGCCACAACGTCAATGTACCCCATCTTTGGTAGGTCCTACACTAACAGCCTAATGTCTGCTCTTATGAGATTAACCTACTTGGGGAAAAAATTCCATCTGGGGCTCTCTGCAGTACAAGGCTAAATAGGGCCCTGGGATGAGGCACCTGTGACAGGGAGGGGTGCAAAACCAAGGAGTTGGCTAGACTCCCAAATATATATAAAACAAGAGGGGGTTGGCTGCACTCACCTTAACATTGCAGAGAGCAATTGTACTGCAGAGAGCCCCAGATGGAATTTTTTTCCCCAAGTAGGTTAATCTCATAAGAGCAGACATTAGGCTGTTAGTGTAGGACCTGCCAAAGATGGGGTACATTGACGTTGTGGCAGGCTTATGCAATGTATGATCATATAATGTAACTAAACCCCCATTATTTTTGCCTAGATTAGGTGTTTTTAAAAAAACAAATAAAATCTTTCAACTTTGAAGTTGCTGTTTAGTGGATAGGTGAGTGCGCTGGATCTTGTGTATTATATATATATATATATATATATATATATAAAAATAAATACACATATAAATGCATTCATAACTTGTACATTAACTCGTGCACGAAGCTTAAGCCAGTCTAGCATTGTTTAGTTGTGACACTAACTAGAAATGCACTCTACTATTAACACTATGGAGAGGAATAGCCTTTACAAGGACGGGCTCCCACCCCTTGGACTTCCAGCAAACTGAGAGCAGCAGTTGCCCTGTGAGCTCTCTACTTCGGCTCCGAGCTGGGAGTGTGAGTGACTGTGGCCCCGCACAGCCTAAGACTGGGACAAGGGGTCCTAGTAAAGTTTTTGGTTCCCTGTAAAGATGTGTTAGTTAGCACATCTCTCGGGAGCGAGTACGCAGGCTGTGTGAGGCTCTGTGAGGAGGGAGGGGGAAGGAAGGCGTGTGGCTGCAAAAAGTCCTAAAAGGTCAATAAATTATCCCTGCTTAACTCTTGCTATGTAAAAACCATTTCGCCTACAAAAAAAAAAAAAAAAGACAAAAAAGCAGCTTGCACATTTCTCCTTTACACTCAATAAAAAGCAGGTTGCACATTTCTTCTATGCAGATATAATATTATCAATCTGCGCTCTTGTGTTTTTTGTTATCCCCTGCAAATAAAATATTTACCCTGCTGTATATTCTTATTATAAAAGAATGTATATTTGTTAACTATTATAGTCTCACAGAAATAACCACCTATTACCATCACCATGGACCTCAAAGGGTTAATACATGACCCTTTTATATGACATCCTCAGGATTAAAAGGGTTAATATATCCACACTTCCACTGATATGTGTCTTATTACTTTTTTTCAGTCCTACAGAATTCACCATATTTTAACATCCTTAAAATTGTGGTGATTTCTATGGGAGTGAGAGGGTTAATGAATACACATTCTGTAATAAGTATATATGAGCAGGAAAAAAGTTTTATTAGCAGGTGGTAATAAAAAATAATATTGTAACAGAGCAGACTGATAATTATATGTGTTTAGTAAACAATGCAAACTTGCTTTTTATTGATTGCAAGGGACATTAAAGGGACTGGCTGCTTTTTCTTAGAGATTGGGCTAAGCATTCAGGGGAGATAAGCAGGGATGATTTATTGACCTTTTAGGACACCGAGCCCCCCCTCCCTGCCCCCTCCCTCCTCACAGAGCCTCACACAGCCCGTATGCGCGTTCACAGAGATGTGGTAACACTTCTTTACAGGGAACCAACTTTAGCACGACACCGGATGCGATATATCCTCTGGCACAACAACTGCTCTGTTCCTCCTCAGTCCCACATGACGCCATTTACTGCTGCCTATTGCCTACCTCCAGAAAGCAGGAGAGCGAGTAGAGAGAGTGCAGAGCCCAGTCCCCCAGTAACAGTGCCATCTGTCACCCAGTGCTAGGGACCCTGCCAGCCAGCAGCTGGAGCAGACACTTTAGACACTCTGCTTAGTCCCCATCCACTTGCACTCACACTCTGGAGCGATCTGCCAGTCGGACTGTCTGCCGGGCTCTGTAACTTCCAGGCTGGGACCGGGGCAGTGTTCAATAACACTCTGCTGGTGGAACTTCTTGTTTTTCTTTCCCTTATTTGGATCACATCATCTCAGAGCTCTGCACGTTCTAGAACCCTCGCAGGATTCGGATTATTTATCTCCGGCAACCCTGCAGCCAGTCCCCGGGGGGGAGAGGAGTCGGTGAGCTGAAGCTCTTACGGTGAGTTAGAGGTCGATCTCCCCCACTAAGTGACATGCCATGGGAGGCCTGCTGTATTGCTCTGCCATGGGAGAGGGACGAATAGTTTTTATTGTGGAAAAAAGTTGCATGTTGAAGTTTTGGAAAAGTTTTTTTTTTGTTTGTTTTTTTTGTTTTTTTACACAGAATGTATTGTGCCTACATGTGTGTGTGTGTTTATGACAGATTGGGGTGTTTGGGGTTATGAGGTGAAACCTGGTTGTGATTTTGCCGAGCACTCTGCATGCAGGGGAAGCCCAGGTCCCAGCACCCCTGGGTACAAGAAATCACGCAGGCCTCCTGGGGTTGCTGCTATAGGATATCATAGGGTCAATCTATCCAGGGGAGCAATTTATTAAAATGTTAGGCTCTTTTTATATACATTTATTTTTCTACTACTTTTGAATGACTTTCTTTTGGAGAGCGATCACTGGGCTTGGGAAAGTTTTCAAGCTTTTGTAAGTGTTTATTTTTTTTTGTATTTTTTTATTTTTGTGAGAACAGGATAGTGTTGTGCCTCAGGCAGTGGCATGGTCATGTGTATATTATTTAAGATAGCAGGGCATATTATTATTTAATTTTTTAATACTTTTTTAACTTTGTCATACATGTCAGATTTGAACCACTTTGCTGCAAACAAAATATTGTCTTCAGCGTTCTATACTTCTTGCACAGTTGATAAAATACTATAATAAACACGTAGATACACTTACACGTTTACTCTGATTAAAAGTCTCAGTTGCTTATTGTATGCAAACTTTTTTTCTGCTGTTTAAGTCTATGCAAAGTAACAGAAAAAGTTGTATTTTTGTTAAATTGAGACTTCTAATATTTAAAGGTATTGGATGAGAAAATATTGTAAGATGTTAGCCTGTCTTGCATCCCTGCCATTTACAGGTTAAATCGGTGTTATCCAGGTTCTGTGAAGTCCTAGCCCAGTAATAAGAGCTCTGTAGGGGCTTTACTTGTCTCAGTAGGATCTTCTTGTTGTCCCTTTGCTAACTCTGTTTTATCTATCTTTACTCAAAGTTTCCACTCTGCGGTTTGCATTTACTTCTATTTTGAATAGCGTAGAGGATATAGTTCGTGCTATTGAACAAGTTCGGAAATGTTGTGGCTTGTTGCGAGATCTATTTATATCCTTTCACCCTATCCCCATGATAAAGCTTTGCTCCCCTCCACCCACCCTAATCCAAAATCTGATCACACACTGCTCTTAATGGGGTTTTCAGAGGAGACTTGGGGAGGGAGGTGGGAGGCTGGGAGAGGAAACGATAATTCACATATCTCCTCATACATGGTGTGTGTGTATCTTCAAACTTGGTGTGTGTCTGTTTACACAACTATAGGTAATGCAGAGCCAATAATTGGGAAAGTTTAATCAACACTGTGATCTGTTATTCTAGAGCGATTAGTAGTAGACGTGGATCAATCATTGATGTTTGTAAAGAAACAAGTCAGTTTTTGTTTTTGTTTTTTGTTTTTGGTTCATTTTAGATCTGATTCTGCCTTTTTAATACCATCTTTGTCTTAAAGTACTGTTTCCATTGGGCTTTGGCTGTTGAAGTATTAACTCTGTATTCGTCTTTTTATGCTGAAGTTTAAAAGCTGTTTCTTAAAGTTTATTAATATTGTTTGTCAGTATATAGTATATGCATGCTAAGGCACAAACCGTCACAAATTTGTAGTAATATAGAAAGCAATTATTAACCATCTTGTTTGTTTTTACCCTAGAGACATTCTACAATTTTTGACTTTCTACATTTGGGACTTTTAAATTCTAAACAGCATTTTTTTTGTGTGTTGCATAATCTTCATAAATTTATCTAATCTGAGTGCAGTTCTGACATTTCCAGTGGAAGCAGGATTATTCCAGGACTGAGAACATGTCTGAATTAAGCACCACAGTTACACCAAATTAGTCATGTCAGATTTACTTGAGTTCTTTCAGTTCTTACTTTTTAAGAGTTATGTTTATTTATTTGCAAATAATTGTATATAAAACTCCAGAAGACAATAGTTTTAATGGCTATATATGCATGTTCGTATTCTTGTAAGTTTAGGTGTTTTGGTAGAAGTTGGATTTCATAACAATATCAATTGTATTATACATTATTGGTACGCTTTGAGAGATTAAGCATTTGAATTTGTAGAATTACTGCTCACTCCTGAAAGGCAAGACAAGTTGATGTTCTAATTTGACGATACAGAATTTCTATAAATTTTAATATCCAGGTCTACTAAGACATGTTTTTCTGGTTTTTTTTTTGTTTTTTTTTTTTTTACTTATAATTTAAAAAAATAACTTCTGTAACCTTTACAGATTGAATTTTATTATTTCTGGTTTGTTTCAGGCATTAATAAAGTGTCATGAAAGAAAATCATAATTATGATCGGCTTTGGTACATACTCCTGAAGATATAGCTGTTAAATGACAAAGTGTAGTAGATATTAAATATCATATCTGGGAGAATTAGACACTCCGATAAGTTTGTGTGTAGTGTTTTGCAGTTTAAAGTACAGTTTGAGTATAAACTGATATTGTTTTGGTTATAGTTCATGATCACACTTTGGTAGAAGTTAGAGGACGTTTAGGAGCTGTTAGAATGTAGTATGTGTTTCATTCGCTTGTTTGTGTATGTGCTAGAATTCTACGGTCTTTTTCCATATGAATAAAAATGTAAATAGCAGTCATGTACTGTGTGAAAGCTTTTTTTATTTTTTATTTTTTGGCTGCTGCATGGCCTAAATCATGTGTATTGGGTTTTTAGTGTTTACAAGTGTGTTTTTATTTTGCTTAATGTGATATTTAACTTGGTCAAAAAGTAAATAGGAATCTGACCTATTTCTCTTTCTTTTAGTTCCACTTTTTTCAATTTATGCAGGTTTATAGTCATTCTAAGGCTCTGAAAGGAACATGCCTAGCTGGAGAGAAGGGTGTTTTGTTTTTAGTAAAAAAAAAAAAAAGTGTGAAAAATTAAATATTCAGAAAATTTGTCCTTCTTTAAACCTGATAGGAATCTAGAAAACTGATGTATCCGTGTAACAGCCTATAAAGTTGTTGATTTGTACATATGTTGTGTTCGTGGATGATTAGTGTGGATTCAATGAAAAACTTTTGGTATACTGCAGAACACCTTAATTTCAAATATGCACTGGGTAGTGTTTGCATAGCAATGCTTTAAATTCCACCATTGTCAAGTAACCAAACAGAGAATGTGCAATTTGTGGGATTGCTCTTCAGTTAAACAGTCCTGATTTCTATAGATCTCTTAAAATTAAAAGCTCCCTCCATCCTGGAAAGTTGTTGAAGTGATTGCATCCTGTTAGCTAGTCTTGTGGTAAAGTGAATGAATGATGTGCATTCTTCAGCCTGTACTCCCTCAAATAGTTTAGTTAGCTGATCCTTTGGCAAATCTATCAAAACCATCAGACCAAAAAAAGGACAAAGTGCTATAAAATGCAGGTAGTTTTTGTTATGTTAATTATAAACTGTTCTTGGGTTGTAAAACTAATTGTGTTGACCCGAGTCAAATGTGTCAAGAGACCAGTTGCATTCTGTATCTTTTTTGCAGCTGTGTCCTTTTTAGTTAAATTATATGAATCCATATAAAAGCAAGTTTTAATACAGTTGGTTTTACGCTAATCAGTTATGAGAGATGATTCCTAGCTTTTTACAGTTTTGTGAGTAAGCTTGTATCATTTCAGTAACTTTTTTGTGTGTGTCAATTTTATTTAAATATCTAAGGTGAAAGTATGTATTTTTTTAATGCTAAACTCCAGTGCATACAATACAAGGTGCTACATATTATTTTGGATTTATTATCCTTATGTGTTCTATGAAATTTATTATAATCTGTGTTTATTCAACATAATTACTTTTAGAACCTTTTTTTTTCACAAACATATTTGCGTACTTGTAAATTATTTAAGATATATTTTGTATTATTACACTTTATATTATTGGGGGTTTCCTACACCAAAATACAGACTATGTAGTATTTATTATGGCATAAATGTTTGTAATCATAGTTAGTACTGGTATTCACTTTAGATTATGATAAGGTTCTATTTCTTTTGTATTTTAAAAATGGTTTCTTCATACAGGGAAAAAGTGTGTATAATACTTGTCTTTGTTAGGGTTCATACCATAATAATTTTATATTTTATATTTTCAACAGAATTTCAGATGTGTTCTCAGTCTACTGGAGTGAAAACTCTTCAGAGAACTGATGGAGACAAGAGTACAAAATGGCAGTGGATCCCAAGCTTTTCCCCAGACTCGGCGTGACAATGGGAGAACACATGGTGACCTTGACCCAAGGGAAATTGTGAACCAGCAAGCTCATATTTTGTCCTTGGAACAGATAAAAGCAATACGGAACACTAATGAGTATACAGAAGGACCGACAGTGGCTCCACGCCCCTGGATTAAACCTGCACCTTGCCATGCTACCCAACACAAAAATGAAAGAATACATGTAGTAACTGAACAGAGACAGTTTAGTAGGAGTTTTCATCCACCAATGCATTCATCACGAGAACCTTTATCTCGCTCAATTAGTACTGCTAGTAATGGGTCTCGAAGCAGTACAAGGACAAGTACAAGCAGCAGTTCCTCAGAACAAAGACTTCTTGGACCATCCTATCAATCAGCAGGCTCAGTTTCTGACAGAGTCATTCGTGTGCAGCCCAAGTTAGAAATGAAACAAGAGGAGTTAAAACCTTTTGGCAAAGAAGAATTGGGTTTGCATTCTTACAGGTGTGAGGACTGCGGGAAATGTAAGTGCCAAGAATGCACTTATCCAAGGACTCTCCCCTCCTGTTGGATTTGTGACAAGCAGTGCCTTTGCTCAGCCCAGGAAGTGGTTGACTATGGGACTTGTGTTTGCTTTGTGAAGTGCCTATTCTATCATTGCTCAAATGATGATGAGGACAACTGTGCTGACAACCCTTGTTCATGTAGTCAGGCACATTGCTGTACTCGTTGGTCAGCCATTGGTGTCATGTCCCTGTTCCTGCCTTGTTTGTGGTGTTATCTTCCAGCCAAGGGTTGCCTTAAATTGTGCCAGGGCTGTTATGACCAGGCTAAGAGGCCAGGATGTCGATGCAAAAGGTCAAACACAGTATGTTGTAAAGTTCCTCACCTTCAGCCCAGAAACCTTGAAAAGCCGACATAGCACAGGCAATTGAATCTAATATAGTAATAAAAAATTTAACACACATATGCAATCATTTAAAAGTTGTCACCTTGGAGCAGTTAGTAGAAAGGTTTTGATCTGTTTTCCTGTTTGCGGTGAAACACTTTCCTAAAGATTATTTTTATGTGCCATCTTAACAGATTGTTAGAAAACCGCTAGTGAATCTTGGGATAGGATCAAGTGTTCTGTGACCCTCGGTTGTATAAGCTAAAGCAACACAGACACTCCTAAATAACTGTGTATTCTATGTAAATAGTACATGCAACATCTGTAAATTGAATGATTTTTCTGCCAGAGATAATTTGCTATATTTTTGTACATAATATTTACAACTGTGAAAAAAATGGTGTCATGCACATGGCACATACACACTATTTACTTATGTACATTCGAAAGAATGTGAATCAATCAGTATGGTTAGATTGTACTTTGCCTTTGGTACCTTTTAACACTTTGAATGCCAGAGTGAAGGTTTCACATCATCCTGGCACTCAATGGGTTTTAATATTACCCAACTTCTACTCTTTTGATATTCTTTGTATTTGTACAGTTACGGTAAAAGTCAGTCTTTATTTTCTAATTTTTCAACATATTGTTTAGTGTAAAGTATATTTATTTGAAGTTTTATTATTTTATAAAAGAGAAATATTTATTTTAAGAGGCATCTTACAAATGTTCCCCTTTTTTACAATGTCGGTTTCTGCAAATAGGGGTGACTGATGCATATGTTCACTATAAAATAGAAAATATATTAACGTTTGAAATTAAACTTGGTATCTGGTCTTTCTTTTCTGTTGAACTAAATGCAGTGGAATGCTGATGTGATTTTCTAGTACATTCTAATATGTTTGTGTGGATGTGTATCTGTGTCTGTATGCTGGCCAATAGAATGATTTCCTCCTTTGCTTTCATTCACAGAAATTGTGTTGGTTTTTGTTAGTTGCTTTACTAGGTAGAAGGTAGCTAAAACATTTTTTAACTTTGCAGTGTTGGCACAGAAAGTTGATCTGTCAATCATTTGTACAATAATTGTAAACACACCAAAGCAACAGAAGACATTTGCTGTTATGGCAAAATGTATCACAGTATTCTTATTCTCTCACGTTCACATAATAGAATTATAATGAAACGACAAAAAAAAAAGTGACATTTGACATTCAATAATTCTTTCAATGCACAGTTTCTGTGTCTAAAACATGGTATTATATATAATATATATATGTGCTATATTAGCTACAAAGCACTCTGTCTCTGTCTCTGTCTCTCTCTCTGTCTCTCTCTCTGTCTCTCTCTCTCTCCATACACAATCCAGCGCACTTGCTTATTCACTAAACAATGATGTAAAATCTCACAGATCGCAATAGTTTTATTTAAAAACACCTCATGTAGCCAAAAAACAATGGGGGTTTAGTTAAATTATATGATCATATATTGCATAAGCCTGCCACAATGTCAATGTACCCCATTCTTGGCAGGTCCTACTCTAGCAGCCTAATGCCTAGTTTTATGAGATTAATCCACTTGGGAACTACTTCCTCCAGGGACTCTCTGCAGGTCAAGGCTAAATAGGATCCAGGAATGAGGCACCTGTGACTGATTTTTATTTATATATATATATATATATATATATATATATATATATATAAATCAACTCTTGCGTAAACATTTGTGATAATCTGTGTGTGTGTATATCATTATAATACAGGTTTTAGGAGGGAAGCACATATAATACATTCTGTGTTCTATATTAACAAAGTTAATCTTAATTTCCTATGGTAAAATGAACAGTTGTATTCTAGAGTGTTGGTTGATCTCCAGTTCTTAGATCAGGTTTAAATTATCATTGTGTATTGCTTTGACAATACTCAGCCAGAGATTACATTAAAATATTTCCTATAGTTAGAAATCAAATATTGTATCTGTACAAAAAAGAGCCATCGTATTAAATATCCCGTGTGGGCTCTAGGCCTCAATCTGTTTTAGCGCAAGGTTGTCCATAAAAGATCTTGTCATTAAAACCTGCACAAAGTACATGTATCGGTCCAAAGTACTGTACGTTGTTTCAAGCAAAAATTCGATACATGTTTTCTAAAAGGAATTGGTACATCTCAGACTATTCATACATGGCACCAATTTGCTTCACGCATGAAAAGTGAATAGAGATTTTAATAGGTAAATATAAGTTACGAGGCTTGCACAGTAGTTTGACATCAGTGAAATTGCTATTTATTTTGCATCTTATATCCCATAAACTACCGGTACCAGAGTTTGAGATATGCTCAGCGTTTCCATTGTGTAAAAAAAAAAAAAAAAACTAGAAAAATAAATGGGAGTGTCAAGAGAGGTTGGCGGATTTTAGCCACCACTTTGGTCACTGAAGTGCTAACTTCCACAGTTTCAAATCCTAGGGTTTGCATTAATACATTATCTATCTGTCTGACTATCGCAACAAAAATGGGGCCAAACACAACCTTGTGTTAAAACTTTGTACATTTTGACTTACTGTGAAGTGTTCTGAATTGCAAAACCTCTCATCTACAATTCATCAAGTATAAGTATATCTTGTTTATGTTTGTTTGTTTGTTTTTTTTGAAGGGGGGAGTTTGTGTACACACAGGTGATTCCCTGCTATATTTTGTACTAGCCATGCAATGGGAACAAAACATTTTAAATTTAGATGGTGTACGTAAATGGTTAATGAGCAACCGCATAATCTAGCCAAGCATGTACTATGTGTGGATTTCTATTTAGAGAATACATCATCCTAAATTAAATAGATCATATTCGATTTACCTTGCTTTGTAATCTACAGATTTTTATTATGTTTTGTACATGTAAAGTTGCGTGCTGAGGCTCCTTAACAAAGTTCCCATTCAATTTAATAATCCAAAATCTGTTAGCTGCTAGTTAGAAGAATAGCAAGTATTTTTCATATGACATATTAGAATACAGTGTAGTCATTTGTGTAAAAATGTTGATGTGCCTCACTTGAAACAAACTGCCTGTTTTTAGACTGTCTCTTCTGGAAAGTAACCTGCTGCTGAGGTCAAAATCTTGCCATTGCCAAGTTTCCCACCAGAAGTCTAGGAAATTATTTACCTGGCTTATTAACAAACCATCGTTTCCTGTCCTGAACATTTGTCTCCAAGTTTTAAAGTAGATTTACAAAAAATAAAGGTCAGCCAGTACTCTGCTCCCTATTAAATCCTGTGATGGAATCATGTGATGTGTTTTTCTCTCACTGAGAATTCTGTCCAAAGAAAACAAAGATGGATCAATAAATTTAGAACCTTTCGGCAGTAAGTTCATACTCAGGGCTAATAAGGTTTTGAAGCTGCTTAGATCTAGATGTAGTAATCTGGTTTGTGATGTCGATTGCTCGTGGTTAAATTACTTTAATTTGAGGTTTGTTTGTTTTTTATTTTATGTGAGCATTTTTTCTTCTGTAATTTATCATTTAAATCATATGACTATATAAGGCAAATTAGAAATTTTAACATGGACCATAAAGATTTCCATAAAATGACGTTACTTTAAATAATTAGATTTTACCTTTTAAGAGATAAAGTGGTGTTTGCATTGCTGGTACAAATTAATAATGGTCATAAGATATGCAACATTTTGTTGTGTATTGGACATTTACTTGAAGCATATTCACGTGAATTGGCAGTCTTCAGTGAATACTTTTTTATTTTATTCAAGCTAATACTTTTATTACTTGATGTTTACCTTCTGGTTAGAGAAGCATCTTTTAAATGTGTTTTTGAAGGTAGGATTTTTAAATTTTATTTATTTATTAGGAACTAGACTTGTGCACAGCCAAAAAATTTTATGTTCTGCCAAATCAATTCATCCATGCAATCATTTACAAATAAGATTGGGCCCTAGGCCTTGCGAAGCATCATAGGAATTGTACTAAAGGTGCAGCGGCATTTTGCGTGTGTGTGTGTGCACTTCTGTTTTTAAATGCAAAATTCTACTTCACACCTTAATCATTTGTTTAAGACTATGCAATAAAGTATATTTGATTTTAAAGAATATTTTTTCACAGCTTTATCAATGGAATCATTATTTTGGTGACACTTGTAATCTAGCATTTTTTTTCTGTGAGGTGTTAGAATCCCACACCTCAGATTATGTAACTGAGAACATTTCTTTCTTCTTCCTAAAATAGTCTCCATTTACAAGCTATTCAATTTTCTACACAAATTAAGAACTGATATTTTATAGAATTTTTAATATTATGTTTCCTTGTCCCTATATTTAACAAATAAAACATTTTTTAGGTCTGCAAAATTATTAAATGTAGAAATCTGTGTTCTGGAAAGGAGTCCTCCATTTGGCTACCTGTTAATCATTGTTCTATGCTTGTCTCTTCTCAGTCAGAGGAGATAGCATGTGAAAGTGTAGAAATAGAAGGAATGAGATAGATGTCAGTGTTCTGTTCTATATAGTAGACTAATGTACTAAACGTGGCGGATACCATAGAACTCAATGGAACCAGTGTATACATTACATTTGTGAATCCTCCTCTTTGAAATATTTGCAGCATTTGTTAGAACAGAACTGTATGATAAATTACCCCGAATGGATTTTATTTTTTTTTTCTCATCCAATGTTCTGGCTGTGGCCTGAATTACCTGGTCCTAAAATGCATTGTTAAAAGGAACACTGCAGTCACCCTGACCACACAATCTCAATGACAGAGAAGCACATAGTGATTTTACAGTCTTCGTTAAATAAGGAATCCTAGATGTACAGATCACAAATCCACAGTTGGCCACTATTTCCTGATTTTCACATTTGAATTCTCACTGTATAACTCTTGATAATGCTCAGTTGATATGTCCTTAAAATTTGTCCCATTGTTAGGCATCAAATATTGTATCTGTGAACTGCTGTCCAAAAACAGAACCATATTAAATAAATGTCCCTTGTGGGTCCTATGCCTCAATGCAGTGGCGTACATGCGGGGGTCGCAGATGCGACCGGGCCCGGCCCACCAGGGGGCCTGGCCGCCATGCGACCCGGTATGTATGCCAGTGTGGCTGGCCCTGAGGCTGGCCCTGGTGTCACCGGGTGGGCTGGCGTGCGCGTGAGGGAGCACTCTCCCCAGCTCCCTCGTGCACTGCACTGATGCCGGAATCCGACGTCATATTTAGTCTCTGGCATCAGTAAGCGCGCGCGCAAGGGAGCTGGGCAGAGAGCGCTCAGGGGAGAGTGCTCCCTCGCGTGCCCGTAGGACCGGCCACCGGGCAGCCCCACTGGACCCCAGGGAATCCCCTCAGCACTCCCAAAGGTAGGGAGGCTGGGGGATCACATTAAAAAAAAATGTGTGTTAGTATTAGAGTTTTTGTGTCAGTGTGTGTGTGTGTGTGTTAGTTTGTGTGTGTCTGTCAGTGAGTGTGTCTGTTAGCTAGTGTGTATGCGTCTGTTCGTGAGAGTGTGTGTGTTTAAAACCCCTTCAGCACTTACCTTTCTCCAGCGCTGGACTCCCTTGGCGCTGGGGATCCCTCCACCTCGATCCGCCTCTCTGCTCCGAATGCGCATGCGCGGCAAGGTCCGCGAGCGCATTCAAACCACCCATAGGAAAGCATTACTCAATGCTTTCCTATGGACGTCCAGCGTCTTCTAACTGTGATTTTCACAGTGAGAATCACGGAAGTGCCTCTAGCGGCTGTCAGAGAGACAGCCACTAGAGGCTGGATTAACCCTCAGTGAAACATCGCAGTTTCTCTGAAACTATGTTTTCAGCTGCAGGGTTAAAAC